ATTGAGCTTCGCTGCGCGGGTATTGAACACCACCTGTGCCCTGTGCCTTGAAGATGGAGTGATGAACACGCTCGTGCTGGATCGAATGGCCAGAGAACGTGGCAGGACTCTTGCCCTGTTGACTGGTTTTAGGACCAGACTCAGGACAGTGCTACCAAGCGATGGTAGAACATTTCTGTTTCAAAACCCCCTGTGTCAGGGTAGTTGCCTCAGTGGGAAGTACCCGTCACAGATCCAAGAGTTTCCGTGAGCTCTTAAACACCACCTTCCCCCCTCTTGCCACAAAGCGCTTGTTCCTTTGGTGAGAAAACTCATGGGTTCCTCTGAAGAAAATTTTCATGCCCTAACCACTATCCACCTTTCTCAGCGCTCCTTGTGAGAGTTGAGATACTCCCAGTAGTGATCGACTGCTGATAACTGCTCAGGAGTGTGTGTAGGAGAGGACAGCACAGGGGTAGAAACTCCTGGGTCTACACAGGAGTGGATGGGAGGAAGAGGCATTCAGATGCATTCAGATGTAGATAAGCAGAAGGCGGCAGCAGGCTTGGCTGAAGGTTATTTTTAAGAATTGGTTCAAACAGGCTGCAGTGTCGCCTGGTATCTCCCACCCACCCAAGCTCTTGGGCCTAGATGCTTACAAGGCAACGAAGTCTTGCTGGTTGCGCTAGGGTTAGCGCTTGTAGTCACCTGCCAGATTTTTGGGGTGGATACTGGTGCAGTTTCTTGTCTCAGCGGTCTCGCAGGCAGGGTCACAAGGTGGGGGTAAGAGATGGGACACTCAAGCTGGAAAAGCTACCTATGGGGAGGACAGCCTGGGTGATGCGCCCTTAGCTGCAAAGCATCTCCAACTGATGCAGCATGTCAGCCAGTCTCTGATACACCGTTCAGGCGTGTCTGGCAGACATGCCGTGTCTCGGACTAGCTGTGGGGGCAGTGGGAAGTGGGACACAAGCTCACGCTTTCATGCTTAGTGCCAGAGACTGCCAGGTCTAGCAACAGCTTTGCCCCAGCGATGAGTAAAGGTGAACGGCTCTTCCAGCTGCTCCTCAGCCACGTGGCGTTTCAGCAACGCACAGCAAAAAAAATGTAGCGGCTTTGCCAGGCCTTGATCTCTGTGTGAGACAGTCCAGGCTGCCGAGCAGCCCACAGCAGAAATCCCTGCTGGCAGCAGTGCCCTCAAACTCAGCAGCAGCCTGCGTAAAGCCATGGAATGCGTTGTTCCTGGTTGGTCCAGGCCACACGTGGGCAGAAGTTAGGAGAGAAATGTAGCCAGGCAGCTGACGTCCGACAGGCCTGCCCATCCTCAGAGATGTACAAGATATTCTAAGCCAGTAATTTCATACTGTGTTGGCGCTCTTGGGTAACAAGGGCTGGCTGTTACACAAGCCTCGTGCACAGCCGTGGAGTCCATAGGCTGGAAAAGATTCATCTGATCACAGAATCGTAGAATAGTCTGGGTTGGAAGGGACCTTTAAAGGTCATCTAGTCTTCCCAACTCCCTCTGCAGCCTGGCCAGAGATGATCAGTGAACCCAATACGGTGGAGGGCAGTTGCTCTTACAGGGTAACCCGAGGGCACCCCAAAGTACTGCAGCATAAAAACACGCTGTCACATTTCCGTGCCTCAGTTGTCCCTCTCCCCGTTTGCAGGCGCTAGGGAAGGATAAAGCAAAGGTACCCGGCAGCTGTGGGGCAGTGATGGAGAGGAGGTGAGCACAGAACAGTGCTGCCCATCACTTCCCAGCTCTTGAAACACATGAGCTCTCTTGCCAAGGGTAGCAACGGCAGTAGCCAAAAGCCTGAACTTTGCTTCCAGAAGGAATCAGCTGTTGAGCTGAGCAAATCGTGATGTTGTGCGGGGTGGGTGGAAGGAGGGATGGAGGGAAAGCCAAGTCTGACACGGGCCAGAGCTGGGGGTGGAGGGGGGGGAGACACGCACAAAGGCCTCGGAGGCAAGATGGAAAAGACAGTAATTACATAAGAGCACTTGGCGAACATCTGGCTGGAGTCAGCTGGGCCCCGCCAGCCCTCCCTCCCCGCGCTCCTAACCAGGAGCAGCTGAGGATACGGAGAACCCAACGCGGGACCCCTCCGGAGGGGAGCGGAGGTAAGAGGTCCTCCGCTTCCCCTCCCGGCTTGCGATGCTCTTGGAGAGCGGGGACGGAGGGGTGGGAAAAAGGGGAAAGGGAAAGTGGCTGCGGTGGAGGAGAAGCAGGCGAGAAAGGGAAGAGAAGGTGCCGTTTCTCTGCCTCTTGGTGCGGATGATACCTTTGCTCCGGAGGTTTTGATGAGGGAGGAGGTGTGAAGAGCGAGTGTGTGGGTGTTTGTGGGTGGGTGCGAGTACGTGTGTATGTGCAGCAGGGCAGGGGATCCACATGTGCAGCGGGGGGAGCTGAGCTGTACACAGGGGCTGGAAAGGGGAGAAAACATCGAAGGCGTTTGGTGTGTGTACCTGTAAAGTCATTTCCTTCCTTCTGTACCCGTGGTAGAGAGGGTTAATAGGATGGAGGCAGTCGCTGGGGGAGAGCCAGGCTTTATCCCCCTACTTTTCCCGTGCTGGGGGGGTTGCAGGACAAAGGAGGAAACATAGAAGGAGGAGGAAGCAGCTGCTTTTGAGCAGGGATTGTTGCTGTCTAATCTGGCCAGAGCTTCCCTGGGCTGCCTCCAAGGCAGAGTGTGTTGATGAGGGAGAGGGAAGATCGTTGAGCACACAAGGTGCCTTCAGGCTTGGGTTACACTTAAAAGCGTGGCTGGCACAGGGTTATTGGAGAGCATTCTCAAAACTCATATCTTTGAGCACTCGGCCATACAAGCCAAAACCTCCTGCAAATGTGGCTGCCCTGGCAAAATGTTGCTGGTACAGCTAGTTCCCTTTAGGGAGCAGGGCGATATTACCCTGGCAAAAGTGTCTTTACTGGCATAAACTGCTGCCCAGCTGGGCAGTGCCACCAGTGCAAGTCTTTGTTTGCTGGCTTCCTCCGGGTCCCTATTCAGCTGAGGCAGGACATTAAATACAAAGTCCTGCTCATTGCCCACTGTGAGCTGTTCTTGCAGTCAGCTGCAACAAAGACAAAGACCCCAGCTGATGAGGTCCTCCATGAAGAACGTTTGCTTGGTTGCGAGCAACTCAGGAGCGCAGATGGAAACGTGGGATGGAAATGAGGACAATGGCCTCCCTGCTACCTGTTGCCCTTGGAAAGGTAGAGGAGGCCAGACATAAGGCCGAGAGCTGCAAAAGGGGGTAATGTCATTTTTGGAAATAAGCCAGGCAGGAAAACCTGAGGGAGTGAGGCACTGCAATAGCTTTGATGGGACAGAGAGGAACTTTGCCTCCAGTGTCGGTCTCTGAGTTTTCATGCACCCCAGAAAATTTATTGGCTTTCAATAGTACCGTCAGTTGCTGAAATCCCCACCAGCAGCAGGCGGGAGTAGACAACACAACTGATCACAGAAACCCGCTTCTGTCAGCTGGCAAGGCTCCATTAACGAGAAATGTTGCCCTAACCTTTCGCCCTCTCATTTTCCGAAAGGGGAAACCGAGGCACGGGCAGACGTGGCAAACTTGCAATGGGTCTCATTGCATGTCAGTGCTGGAGCCCGGCTAGGAACTCCTGAGCACAGCAGTGAATTTCTTGGTCCTCTTCCTTCCCCAGCTGGGAGGCACGTTCACTCCATGTTCATTGAGCTCCAGACTGACAGGCAGCCTGAGAATATCTCCAGGCCTCCCAGCCCCCCTTCCTCCCTTCCCCCCAGCTCGCAGCACATATTTTCCCAGAGTTTTCCGCTTGCTTCTCCAGTGGTGCTGGGGTCCTGCCAAACGCCAGCCACTCTCTGGGAAGCGGGGCCTCCCATTCCCAAACCAAACAAATGGGAGAAGGAAAACAGAAAAAAAAAAAATCCAAGCACACGTAGATATGCACAAAACCCTTTCCCCCTCGGAAACCTTGGAGCCTTCTCCAGCTTCTCTTGCAAATTGCAGGAGGCGCAGTGCTGACTTGGCACTTCTGGCCCCTGCAGAAGAGAGCTATTGCCCATCCTTCCTTTTACCTCCCACAGATACATATGTGCACCCCCCCAGGGTATAGGTTCGCAAAGCCAGTTTTGCTGCAGAGCAGGATCCCCCAAATCCTCTTACCAACTGATTCTGCAGTGTAAGAAAAGTCTCCTGTCTGTCCCCCCCATGCTCTTCTCCCCCCCCCCCCCAATCCCCTCCATTCCCCGGTTCTGGTGCAGCCACGTAGTGCTCATCCCAACAGCACAAGCATGTCAGCTTGGCGCCAGGCTGGGGGCAAAGATCACGGCCAGGGTTTGCTCCAGATCCTCAGCTTTGCTGGCAGCTTCAGGCCAGGCACACCCCTCCGTGCAAACTGCTCAGCCCGAGACCTAACCGGGGACGTGACCGGGGAATGACACGCGCCGGAGTGCAAGGCTTGGGGCTCTGCCCAGGGAGAGGGGATGTCCAGAGAGGGGAAAAAAAATTGATGCCTCTCCCAGTTGGCAGATGAGCCTGCTAGAAATATCATGCCTGGGACGAGAGGCCGCAGTGACGTGGAGAAGAAACAATGCGGGAGAGAATGAAAGATGGAGTTTGGGGACTATGAGTGGGACAGGCACAGCTGGGGAGAGACCGTGGCCAGCCAAGTGAAGGGCTAATGCGTGGGACAAGGCACTAACACAAAGGTATGAGGGCAGGGTCCTGCACCGTCCCACCTGAAGGAAAGTCTGTCTTTTGCACCGATGCACCTCACCTTGCCCATCCTGAGATGCTCAGGGTCGGACACTGCCCTGCTGCCTGCCCACTCTTTGTACAGGGTGTAATCTGTGCTGCCTGCATTTTGCTGATTGAGGCTAGGTTGTTAGGAAGCAAAAAGGCAGAGGGGAAAAAAAAAACCAAAAAACCCAAACCATATAGAAGGAAAAGGCCCTACCTAGGAAAGAGTTAAAAGGCGCCGAAACCCAAGCCGGTTTGCAATGGAGAGCGCCCAAAGCCAGGGAGGGAAAGGGAGGGAGAGGGGAGGGAGCAGGTCCAAGCCCAGTTTGCTCACCCAGCCAGCACTCAGCAGTGCCTGTGCCAAGAGCCAGCTTTCTTAAAGCCATGGGCCCGGGGGGCCGGCATTGCAGGCGGAGGGGAGCCCGCAAGCAAGGGCTGGGAAGCACAGAGGGGAGCCCTCAGCCTTTGGGGTGAGCTGCCACGCTGAGCTGGGGTGCAGGCAGAGGGAAGGGGGGGCAGAGGCTGGGAGAGGGGCTTTCTCAGCTCGTTTGCGCGTCTGTCTTTCGTAAGCAGGCTTCTCCGCAGGCTGCCTGCTCCGAGCTTTGCTTCCTTCACCCTCCGCAACGGAGCAGCTCTGCGAAGGCCTGGAATTGCTGGCCGCTCTCGGAGGAGCCGGCCATCCCTTTGGGAAGGTGCTGGGGTTTGGCTGAGAACACAACTGAGCGTTGGTAGGAGGGGGCTGAGGCACAGAGAGGGATGGGATTTGGTGGGGGGGAAGGAGCGGGCTGAAGTTAAGTTCCCAATCCACAGGAGAGGGTGTCTCTCTGCAGAGAGATGTGGGTCGGACTCTGGCTGGGATGGGGGGGTCGTTGGGTTAGACTCCCGAAAAGAGTTGATACCTAGTGACTGGAGGACTGGAGAAGTTTTTTACAGCCCTCCCCACAGATTCAGCAGCCTACCAGAGTATGCTTTTGCTAAAGGTGCTGTGGGGCTTGCCATGTCTCCTTCCTCTACCCCAGGCTGGGGACTGAATCTTCTAGTGGCTCCAGTGGTTTGCCTAGTAAGGGTCAAGCCTTCTTCCAGAGTTAGTACCTAGTCTCCATCGGTCTGGGCAGAAGGGCGTGGGGCATCCTCTTGGGCCATGCGGTTGCTACTCAGATTGCAGCCTTGAACCTCCAGGGACTTGAAGCATGTAAACTCCCTCCACAGGACAATGCCATTTCATCCCACCCCTGGCTCCAGTCACAGAAAGATGTTTTGTGGTGATCTCTGCTCCATCCCCTGTGTCCTCCCCTTCTTATACCTCACTCTGGCACTTCCTCATATCTTCCCAGGTCACCATGGGCATAATTCACCTGCGTGCACCCCTGGCCTTCCTTCTTCTCCCTCTTGTTGTGCTTGGGGCACCCACCGATGAAGCCCACCCCACAGAACCAGCCCCCGGTGCTTGCAAGCGCTGTTGTGACCCACTGGACTCTTCCACAGATGCCCCACCGCTCCCTCCCAGCCACTACCACTTGCCCTACCCAATGCCGGAGGTCCGTCCCTATATCAACATCACCATACTGAAGGGTAAGTGCCCATCATGGCCCCGGGATGCCAAAGTCTGCTCAGAGACCGGTGGCACCGCAGTGGAGGTGACAGCTGGGTTGCTGGCACGCTGGTTATGCTAACAGCCAGCCAGATGCCATCCTGACGGGCATGCGACCGCACACACCGTGCCCAGGGTTTAGATGTTTTGTGTGGTGATCAAGAGTAGCCTGGGGAGGAGAGAAGCACATACCTGTGCTGTGACCTCTGTGCCTCGGGATGCTGCCTGCTCCCAGTTCTTCCTCCCTGCTAGCACAGGAGTGGCAGTGGCAGCCTCTGGCCAAGCTGGGAGGACACCTTCCTTGCCTCAGACTTCCAGAGTTCTGTAGTGCCTGAGGGAAGGAGCAGTCTCCATCCAGCTGCAAAATAAGCATGTTTGGAGGGTAGGCATTGGCATCCAGGAAGGCTGTGGGGGAACCTTCTCCAGCTCCATGGGTCACGCATTTTGGAGGGGGAGGAGGGCAAGGGAAGGCAGCAGCTATTTGCAAGCACCTCCAGGCTAACTGGCAGTGACCTGGCTCATTCCTCCCTGCTGTGGCTGGCTTGGCTAACGGGAAAAGGCTCCCTGTTTTAGATCAGCTCCTCCCTTCAGGGCTCCCCTTTTAGCCTTTGCTGCGGGCAAAAGCCTGTTCCCAGCTGGATCCTGCTCCACTCACTTATTGTTGCTCTGCGGTTCCTCCGGGCTAGCTGGGCAGATGCTCCCCCTTCCCTGCCCAGCCTGGAAATAGCTGCAGTCCATCAAAGCTCAGAAGTGTGTCTGGGGCACTTAAAGGCCTGGGCTAGAGTGGGGTGTTGCAGGGAGACCTGCAATACCATGCAGGGGATGGAGAGGAGGAAAAGAAAAAAGGCACAAATTTGGGATGCTGTCGCTTGTGCTGGAGGCTGCTTTCACCCCCCGACTCTTCTCTCTGTACACAAAGTACGTTCTGGTGCTGCTCTCTCCCTGTATTGATGCCTGCCCAAGCATGTGACAGGCAACGCACAAACCCCAGGTTAGAACTGCAGTATTAATTATACAGGATGCCCAAAGGATGCTGGTATTGTCAAAGTACCAGCCCTCTAACTTACACTGCACCATCCGCCAAGTCCAGCTTGGATCTTTTCCCTCTGACCCACCTCATTGTACCTCTCTAGTCATATTCTCCCACAGGCTTCCCCTTCTTCAACCTACAGCAAGAACAGTGTGTGCACTACATGGATAATTGGATCATAGGAGAGGTGTAAGGCCATATCGTGTGGTGAGCAGGGGCTTCATAAGAGAAGAGACCCTAGTTGCACCTAGAGCTCTGCTAGCTCCTTTCCCATGAAGCACAGTGTTATTGTGACCCTCAGGAGCATTCCTTCTTCTGGCATTGCCCCATCCTTCAGCAATCCTCTGCCTCCTCATTAGGCTTCCTCACCGCCACTTCCACCTCTCCCTCTGGTATCACACAGGAGTTGTGTCCTCTGCTTCCTCTTGTAGGAGAGAAAGGAGACCGGGGAGAGCCTGGGATGCCAGGGAAATGGGGCAAAGAAGGACCACGAGGTGAGCGGGGTGCCCAGGGCCAGAAGGGCAGTAAAGGACAGATGGGCACAGCCGGAGACCCTTGCAAGCATCAGTACGCTGCATTCTCCGTTGGTCGCAAGAAAGCGCTGCACAGCAGTGAGGGCTTCCAGGTCTTGATCTTCGACACCGTCTTTGTCAACCTCTACAGCCACTTCGACATGTTCAATGGCAAATTCTACTGCTATGTAGGTGGACTTTACTATTTCAGCCTCAATGTCCACACCTGGAACTTCAAGGAGACCTACATGCACATCATGCACAACGAAGAAGAGGCAGTCATCTTGTATGCCCAACCCAGTGACCGCAGCATCATGCAGAGCCAGAGCCTCATGCTGGAACTTCAGGAAAATGATGAGATCTGGGTGAGGCTCTACAAGCGGGAGAGGGAGAATGCCATTTACAGTGACGATGTTGATGTGTACATCACCTTCAGTGGGTACCTGGTCAAGCCCAGCATTGACTAACTGCCTTTCCTCCTCCTTGGGGCCTCTTTGGCCTTTTTCTTCTTCCTCTCTCTCCCTCTTTACTGCCCACAACCACTGCAAATCACTTGGAAATGGGCCTGTCAAGTCTCAGGCACTGAGTGTGAAACTTGCCGCACTGGCTCCCACCTCACGCTCTCTTGTAGCCAGGCCTGTATCTGTCCACTTACAGTGTGACACTACCATCTCTCGCCCTCTCACCTCATGACCCCAACTTAGGTTATTGGCTTCTTCTAAATCTGCCAGCGAGCTGTGTCTGGCATTTAGGGTCCTAGAGCAGGAGGAAAGCTAAAATGCTGCTCCTGGGGATGTGTCCCTCTTTGGGGCTTCATACACAAAGGACTCCTGTAGAAAGGGCTGGAAAGTCCCCAGTGCCTGGGTGCATCTGGTTCCTCTCCATCCCAGCTAGACATGCCAGTTTTGCAGCCTGCAACATGGCCGTAATGTCACCTCTCACACCTGTAGTCTGGAGAGCGGCCTGGGGTCTGATGGCCTCCTGTAGCACAAGGAAGATGTAGGAGCGGTGAGAGACGATACTGTCTTTCCAAAAAGGGGACTGTTGGCCTTCTGAAGTATGTCATTGGCTTTCCTTAGACACCCTTCTGGGTTACAGAGTCCAGGTTGGCTGTAAAATCTAGGCCTGGCGGGATTGTCCTCCTCTGTGCCATCTTTGAAGAGATGAAGGGCCAGACGCTCAGCCAGACCCTTCAGAAGCATCTGCCATTGAATCAGTAGAGCCCACCACTCTATTCCTACTAGGGATCATAAGTACAGAACGAGAGAGAGACACAACCCTCCCAAACCTCCCCTGGGGTGCTACTCGGTCTCGGTTCCCCAGCTGCAGGAAGCTAGTCCAGACAGTGAACCCGAATCTGCTCTCTTCTTTGGCAGAGGTGGACCCATGCCCTTCCATTGGTATCGGCAGTCATCCCTAACACTTGCTGATGTGAGGGGAGAGTCAGGCCCTGGCTCCTGCATGCCATTACCTTGTCCTCCTGAAGGTGGTTCTCCCACATTAATATTGAGGGACGGCTGTTTCAGAACCTGAGCTGCAGGCTGTAAGGGCAATTGCAGTTAAATCAGTTCCAAACCTGGGCAAGTTGGCACCTCTTTGCCTCTGTGATGGAAAAGAGATGGAGGTGACACTACAGGACCTCACCCCAGGGTTAAAAGCTTCCCTGCCACACGCTCCGTGCCCTTTTCTGCCAATCTCATCAGAGCGACTGAGAAAAGCATGTGGCTAAAACAAACCCTCGCTCTTCTTGTCAGGCTGGAGATGTCGCAGTGGGAAAGGAATGCCAGCGGTAGGGTTTTCTAGTACCATTTGTACTGGTCTCACCCTGTTCTCACTCACTGGGATTGCTACAGTCCTGGGGGGAGCAGGTGAGGCTGACTCAGCACTTTGGGAAACCTACTTCCACATGTTGTGGTGCTCCCGTAAACAGCAGTGCCAAGAGTGGTGTGTTTTTTGAGTCTCAGGACAGGACAAGCAGGAGAAACTGTATTTCTCCTCTGCCCATCACTGATAATGAAGTCTTCTGACTTATCTAGCTTCTGCGGTCTCATGATTAGCCATGGTCTCTGCCTATAGCACCTGGGACTACCAGAGCTCTCCCATAGGAGATATGCATCATTATACAGGACTAGGTCCGGTACACCCAGCCAGGGATGGCAAAGGCACAGGGACCCAGGCTAAATATTAGAAATTAACTTGAGAGAATTGCAGGACATTTTCTCTCTTGCCCTGTTTACTTACCCTCCCTGCTTTGCTGAGGAAGCTGTACAGACTGGAATGAGTTTCGGACACTTTCTGCCTTGGATCCTCCCCACCACCATCACTGAGGCAAGGGGTATAAAAACAAGGTTTCGCTGAGGCAAAGCTGGGTTTTCCCAGGGAAACATGTGATGATGGGATCATGGGAACTAAAGAAGACTGTGAGTTTCTTCCCCTCCCTTAGCAAGTCAAGCATGTGGAATTGCTCAGAGATGGGATTTCAGGCAGTAGAGAGGAAACGGTATGCTGGAGGTGATGCTCAGGACCAAATCCCTTTCTCTCTTCCTCAACAGGCTGCAAACCCAGATATTGTCTATTAACAGTGTATAGTGCCCCTTTGTCTCCCTGAAGTGAAGCAAGCCTCTCTAACACTGAATATCTCCAGAAACAAGCTTCCTTCTTCCTCCTTTTCTATTTGGTGTTTGAATGCCAGTGATAGGTCTCATGTGCTACCCATGAGCAGCCAGATGGTGCCTGATGCACATGAGACAGGAGGGCAGGGGGACCAAAGGGTGTGTTTGACAGGCTTCTTGGTGCTAAAGAAGAACGCAATCCCTTGGTGCTAAATCAGATTTCAGGAGTATTGGGTGCTTTCTGGAAGGTGTAGTAGGCTGAGTTGTAATGTACTGTGGAATTAATGGTGCTTTATGTTACAAAACCAAATGAACTCCAAGAACTTTTGTATTTTTTTTTTTCCCAGTGGTATTAAACTTTTTTCCCTGGTTGTTTTGCACTTAGATCTGCTTTTGCCTCCCAACCTATTCCTTCTAGCTCTGGTTATCGCTGAATAGCGTGATGGAAAAGACACTGACCTGAAAGAGACAGGTACAAAGTCTAACTCAGCTCTGAAACTTCCCTGGGCAATCCTTGGCAATCTTCTGTCTGTTTCCTTTGTGGAGAACCATTACCTTAAAGATATTTACTGGTTGAACACTTCTATCTATGACAACCCTCTCCTCTTTGCTGGTAAAGCTTTAAGAAAATTCAAGGAACGATTCTTTGGAAATTACAAAAAAAAACAGGACAGTACAATGGGTTGCAGAATTAGGATTCAAGTACTTAATTAATTATATTGAGGAAGGCTGGGTTAATGCTGGAGTTCTCTTAAGGGGGATCAGACACTTTATCCTGTGAATTTTTTAGCACATCCTTCTATCAAGTACTTAGTAAGCATGTGTGTTTTCTGTTTTCCCTGTGGTGTTTCTTTTTTCTCTGCGAAGAGGTGAAAGCCAGGAAGTACAGATGTAAGAGGGACATTAAACTGTTGACTAGGCACTTGCGCTTGCTAACAACGGGGCGAGTGGCAGTTCCAGAGTTAAATGGGACACACATTTTTGGAAGACCTGTATGTGATGAGAAAGGCTTGAGGTTCAGGTCAGAGGTGGAAAGACAAGTGGTGATTGCCCATAAAGTTGGGGAAAACAGGGAGACATGATGGGGGAGCAAAGACGTGGAGGTTTGAGTGGAAGATCTAGGAGGGGCAGAGTCCTAAGGACAGGGAGATGCCTTTTGGGGGTCTCAGTGCAAGTCGAAGATGTAGGTGGGGTTTTGTTTAGCATCTATGGGGTTTGGACTGAGGGGACTCCTGCTGAAGTGAAGGAATGGACAAGAAAACAAGAGAAGATGCCCATATAGGACCTTCTGTTTTGAGTTTAATTCATCTTCACATAGCTTCTCCTGTGGTTTGACGTGTACCAGACGCTTTGTTTGGCAAGGGGTGGAAAACATAATCATGCGCATCTTTACAGGCCTCTTTGGTCCTGCGTCAGGCCCAGAGCTAGGGCTATATATCTCCTAGTAAATGCAATAGTGTCAGATCGGAGCCCAGCCTTCTCATTTTTTATTTACTTCTGAGCAAGCACATAGAAATGTGTCCTCAGGAAGTGCAGGGGTTGTGCTTGTGCATGTTCCTGGCCCCTTGAGGTGAGATGCTGGTAGATTGGAGGTGACTTTGTCACACTTACAAAAGGTGAGGAGTAAGGGAAGAGGGAGGAGCGGAAACGTGTGGCCAGACCTTCTAGAAAAGTTTTCTATGATTCAATCCTTCAGCCTGCCCATTTGGAAAGGAAAGTGCCACCTGAAGAGTCTCTTCAGCCAAATCCCTTGGGGCTAAGATGCGTGGCGACAGGCGGGGTCTCTACCCAGTACCACCCATCACACCATGGATGCCCAACTGGGGAGTTGCTGTAGGTAAGGCTCAGCTCAGGCAAGGTGAACCCTGCAACGCTGTTGAAGAAATAAGGGCTAGACTGGGTCAGACCAGCCCTGCTGCCCTGCCAGTGGGTGCAGCCGTGCCCTGAAGGCCACAAGATTTCCATTCACTTCATTCTCCCCAGGGCTGGGTCCTTTTCCATGCAATGGGGCTGCTCTGGTATGTGAGCCTGGGGTTGGTGACAGCCAGTACCTCTCTCCCAAGCAAAGCAAGAAGCGTGCCCTGGGGTGGGCAGCTACAGCACTATCCCTGGGGCCATGCCTCTGTTTTCCCCTGAAAGACAGGTCCAGGCTCTGCTGCAAAGGGCTCTGTGGCTGCATCTCAAGCTTGTTCAAGGTATCTGCCAAGGGGTTGGCCCTTTAAACTGGCTTCCTGTGGGTTTGTGGTCTTGCAGGTATGAAAGGGGGGGCGGAGAAATGGGAAAGAGGAGGTAAAGGGCAGAATGTGGTGCTGTTCCTGGGGAAGAAAACACATCTCAGGGCCAGCTCAGGAGAAGATGAAGGCCCTGCAATAGCTCCTTGCACCGTGATAGCTGCGGGAAGGGGTAAGAGAGAGGAAGGGCAAGAAAAGGAATATAAAAGAAGACCTTTGATCCTACTAGGGGCACTCAGATGAGCACAGGTGGACGTGCCTGCACGCAAAGCACCGGGGGAGCAGGGGCACAGCATGGCAGGACCCGGCTCTGCATGTCCCCTGACCCTTTGCCACAGGTGGGGCAGCCATGGGAAAAGTCTCTGGCAGACCCTTGAGCCCCACCCCAGTTTCCAGCCATGATGCAGGGTCTGCCCCACGTCAGGGATTTGTGCACCGTTCTGGGGTCCACTGCACTGTACCATAGCAGGTTTCCCCTCTGCTCCAGCCTGCTGTCCCTCCTCCCCTCCCAAGCCACCCAGACAACCTGCTTCACTTCACCTCAGCCTTGTTTATCTCCCAGGGTCCAGGGAGGGAGAGGGGGTGATGCAATGCCCCAGCTAGCATCACCCAGCGCGGCGAGCA